CCAGGACCAGGAGTCTCAGTGCACAGTGGCCCTCAGCTTCCTGCACCTGCCCCCTCCTCGACCTCTCTCCCCAGGTCTCCTGGGCTCTCTTATCCCACCCTCTCTCCTGTGTCCAGGTGTCCTGTCCTCCTGAGCTCTGTGGACAGAGGTGGAGATGCTCCCTCCAAGGTAGGAAATTAGAAAAGGGTGTGTCGGGGGTGACACCAGGAAGATCAGAGGACTGATGTGGCTCCACTTTACCGGCCCTGTGCTTAAATATTAAGGTCAGGATGCCATTTTTGTGAAATCAAGGCTGTTTTTATACAAGGAAAGAAAAAACAGGTAAAGGAGAAATAATAATAAGAGAGTCATTTTATTGGCTACAGGCCCATGAATGATAACAAAGACCCTGCAAACTTGGACACAGTAATGCCAGTGTAGCTAGTAATCCGAGTTTTGCTTCATTCTTTAATATTAATATGAAGGAAGTTCTTCATGGAAGCTGAGAACTAGCGCTATCAGGGAATGAGAGAAATGAAGATTTTCTGCTGAGAATTAACCCTCCCTGGTAGAGTCCCATGTATCCTTCTCTCGTCTCTTTCTGTCCCTCTGTCATTCTCTTTTGTTTCATTTTTTTCTTTAATTTTTCTTTTTTTAGTATTTTTAAGGTAAAGTATTTTCTTGACTCTCAGATTCTCCTTTATCTTGCTAATAATCCCCTTCCCCTCCTCCCATGTAGGAGAAGCAAAACTGGCAGGACTTTAGAAGAAAATTTGAGTCCTCCATCGGATTTGAGAACTAGTGCACTTGCATGGCTTGCTCATGGGGCATGTGGTTTTCTTTCTTTTTTTTCCTAAAAGAAAGAAATAAAGATATTTTTCTTTTTTTTTTCTCTTTCTCTGTCTTCTTATCTTTTTCCTTTTACATCATCAGTTTGCTGCTCAGCTACCATGCAATGAGCAGATCTGTGAACTGCAGCCAAACATCTGAGTACTTATTAGGGTCAACATATTTCTCAATTCACACAGTGGGAGAAAAATGGAATGGCAAAGAGTTTGCAGATCACCTTCTTCTGCACGCCTCTGAATGTTCACATTGAACATTTAGATATCAGGAAGAAATTAACAACACAACAGATGATTATAATTAACTGCAGAGGCACAAAGAATACGAGAAATCAAGAAAATGCCTCTCCCCCAAGGGGAAAGAATAACACCTCTTTATTCACAGGCAGTACAATGGAACTCAATGAAATGTCTGATAAAAAATTTACAATATTCCTAGTGACAAAGCTAACACAGATGGAAGGGAAAAGAGACGGTGAAGTCCAGAAGAGGCGGGAGAAAAGAGCTGACGAGTTTCAGGAGGTGAGAACGTCCTTGAAGATCTGAGATAGGAAATTCACACCATAAAAAAGAATCAAATGGAACTTTTAGAGATGAAGGCTATAATACAGGATGTCAAAACCTCCCTTAGAAGTATTAAAAGAATATTAGATGATACAGAAACCTGAATCTCAGATGTAGAAGTCAGAATCACTGGACTAGAAAAACCCACCATGAAGACTGAGAAAATAGCCCCAAAACTGAGATTAATATACAAAAAATGTTAGATACCGTTAAATGTGCAAACATCTGGATAATCAGTTTCCCAGAAGGTGAAGAGACTAATAAGGGCATTGATAATCAATTTTATGAAGTCCTGGGAGAAAACTTTCCAAACCTAAAGAGGCATTCAAAGATCTAGACCCAACAAATACAAAGGACCCCAATTATAATCACCCCAAGAAAATCTTCTCCAGAGCACATCCTAGCCAGATTGGACAAACCAGGTACAAAGAAAAGGTACTATGTTTGGCAAGAGCAAAATGTCAAGTTACCTACAAGGGATAGCCCATCAGGCTAACAGCAGACTTCTCATTGGAAACATTGCAAGCAAGGAAAGAATGGAAAAATATTCTCAAAGTATGCAGGGAATATAATTTCAAACAAGAATACTGTATCTGGGTAGATTATCCTTCATATGTGAAGAGAAGACAAGAAAATTCTCAGATAAACAAAACCTGAAAGAATTTAGACAGCAGACAAGTTCTCCAAGAAGTTCTGAAAGAAGCTCTATAACAGGAAAACTCAAGTCAGACAAAGAAATAAGAGATCAAAAATGATTAAGAAAATGGCCAGCTTAGTGGTAGGAAGAAGTCCAGAGTTGAACATTATCTTCCAGAATTTAATTAGAAAGATCGGACCACAGCAAAAGATGAAGTACATGAGTCTGAACTGGTGAAGTAGAATTTTATGACTTTTGACTACAACATTACTGATCTTCATTACTACTGAGACATCTGCTGGTTCCTTATTTAGAATTCATAGTAAGTTTTTGTATTTCTTCATGGGAAAGACAAGAGGGCAAGCACCTCCAACATGGTCTTCACACCACAGTCCCCTCATCTCAGCCACCCTGGGGCATGGACACACACACTGGCAGCCAGCAAGCTCAGGGAGGGAATTACTGGGACCCAACTCCAGACTCTTTCCAATAGGGATCCAGTTGTGTTCCCTCTGCACATCTGCCTACTGTTATTGTTTTATATTATTATTATTATTTTGTAAATTGCATGGCCTTTGGAAATGTGAATGTTTTTCAAATCAACAAGGGTAAATAGGACCAGCAGATGTCATAATGCCTACGTTGCTCACTCCCATGTAGCCAACTGTGGTTTGAGTCCTGGACCCAGTGGCTTAAATTCATGCTGGGCATATGTGCTTGTGTGTCCAAAATCCTGAGAGAAGAATGGAGAAGAGATTGTGGTGTGACCATCCCCCCTAGGGGGTGATTTCTCACTTTCTTTCTTTCTGTCTCTCTCTGTCTTTCTGGAGAGCACACGTTCTCTATAGCAAAACCTCTCCAAAAAAAAAAAAAAAAAAGAGGATAGAAAAGGGTAAATGCACTGTGGTGGAGGCTTCAGTGTCTACTGTGACACCCTGGATCTCACTGAGTCACTTCCATCTGTGTATCTGGTCAGGGATGAAGAGTCAGAGTGTGCACACATGGAGGTGGAGGTGGAGGCATGGAGTGCAGCTCACACCTTCAGGTGTGTATCACGGAACAGCTGGGACCGTGGCTCCTCTTTCCTGGTATTCACCTTCAGCCTGGATCTGGCCTGTGGTTCTCTGAGAACTGAGAGCTCCTAGGATTTGAGGCACATTACTATTATTCTTTTCAAAAAATGCAGGAAGTCAGCAGACCTTCTGGGACACGTGGTGTTCACACTGAGAATTTAGGAGGAAGACAAGAGCTCTCAGGTGTACAGTGGCGGCCGCAGGCCTGGATCCCCAGTGTGGGGACAACTGACTCCAGGTGGCTTCCCTGATTCTGTCTCTCCATGAAGATCTGTAGGCTCAGGTCAGCTTGGAAGGAGGGAGGAGTCCACCCAGGGCTGAAAGAGGTGCTGACATCAAGAAGGGTACAATGGAAGGACTCTGGCTTCCCTCCAGGGAACTCTGGAGCTGGGGGACTTCTAGGTGTCCCTAAGTTGAAGCAGGGCCTGGAATATGGACCTCAGGCTGTCATCAAACCAGACCTCTCTGGGTAGAGGCATGAACTGGAGGAAGGGGCCCAGCTCTGAGGGGCTGACAGATCCCAGCAGAGGAGGTGGGTCAGCCCTGAAGTGGGGCCGGGCAGATCCCACAGGGCCCACGGCACAGGCTTGCTCTGTGAGAATCCCATCATGCCAAGGTGCTGCTGTGTCAGGACTTCAGCCAGCTGGACAGGGCTAGGTGTTAGTCCTGGACATTCAGACCAAAGAGAGGCCCAGTGACCTCCACAGAAACCTGGATCAATAAGTGAAGGACAGCTGTGTCCTCATGTCTTTCATTGAACTCGAGTTGCTTCTCGTATCTCAGATAACAGACCCTAATCCCAGGGCAGTCTGGTCCTGCAGCCCTGAGTGCCTCCCCACACTCCCTCTGCAGATCCCACCTGGAGGGCTGAGAGGAGAGGACAGCATGGGGGGCTCAGATCAGGTGACATGGGCCAGCCCTGCTATGTCCCCAGACCTTCTGGTTCTGCAAGGAGAGTGAAACCCACATGAGAAAAGGGGTTTTTGTCTCACTTCCCCATGTGCCTGTGTCACTGTGCAAGGTTACCACTGTCCACTGACTGACAGAAATAGTCAGCCTCGTCCTCAGCCTGGACCCCAGTGATGGTCAGGGTGGCCGTTCCACCTGAGCGGGAGCCGGAGAACCGGTCAGGGACCCCTGAGGCCCGGTTGCTATCCAGATAGATGAGCAGTGCAGGGCGCTGATCTGGCTTCTGCTGGTACCAGTGAGAATAATAGCTTCCTAAGTTTCCTCCCTGACAGGTGATCCTGGTTGTCTGTCCCAGTGACACAGACACTGAAGGTGACTGAGTCAGCACAGAGGAGGTCACAGAGCCTGCAAGAGAGGACAGGAGAGGTGAGCCTGAGGCTGAGGGTCTCCTTCCCAGAGGGCCCCACACCCTGGAGCACCCCCTGTGCTGAGCTGAAGGTCAGGCCAGGCTGGTCCCTGGCTGTGTGGAGCTGATCCCTGGGGGCAGCACCTGTGCAGAGAGTGAGGAGGGGGAGCAGGAGAGGGGTCCAGGCCATGGTGGAGACACCCCAAAACGCTGCTTGTGAACCCACAGCTGGGGAGGGCCCCCAGGCCTCTCTTATCCTGGAGGTGGGGGGCTCCTCATGCAAATGTCCTCCTTCCTTCTGTGGCTGTGGGTGGCTCCCTGCTGAGCAGAGCAGGGCTGGGCTTCCAGGAGGGTGTCCCATGGGCCTGTCCCCAGGGCCTGTGGCCAAGTTCTCATACTCTCTCTGGTGTGGAGGGAGAATGTACTGCCTTAGCACACAC